AGAAGTGAAAAGGTCAAATGAAACAGACCAAAACCCCTGGCCCATTTTTCAGAGTCATAAGGTTTAATTGGAGGGGAAGATGGTAGCTGTTAGGCCCTTTTCTCAGCCTGTATGGTGTCACATGCTTTCAGTTAATCCTTCAAGTCTGGTAGCTTTAAAGAACCAGGAAGTTCCAGCTATTCAGCCAATAGAAAGAGGCTGCTCCCAACCACAAGGGAGGCCAGTACAGAATATGCACTCCTGTTCCAAGGGATCCTGTCTTTCAGAAGCAAGTCTCTGGCAATTCCCACATGGGTACCTCCAACTTGAGTGATCTGGTCATTCACCAACACCCAGTACTTATTAACAGTACCAAATTGTTGGAAGCCAGCACCTGGTAGTGGGCCCCTAACCCCGTGAAAACACCAAACCGCAAGCAGCTTGTTCCAGGACAAACCGTATCATACATGTTTTCGTCAACAGATGTACTAACCGCAAAATGTTGCCATACCGCCCTGGAAAGTTCCGGAGGCCTATTTTTTCTTTAGCCCCTCCCCACTTTTACCCTATATAAGCTTGGAACGCTCAAAAATAAAATTAGATTGCCTACCATCTTTTTGGTCTCGCTCCTCCTTTCACCCATTCCTTTCAGCCAGGATCCTCCTCGACCCCCCACGTATACTGGCCCTGCAGGTCGGGGCAAGTGGCGCCCAACGTGGGGCTCGAGGTTCGGACTTCTGCCAGGTGGACCAGCATTGAGAAACGATTCGTCGCGACCCCCTCCTTCTCATCGCTCATGAAGAGCCCCTGCGTTTTGGTAAGTTGAGTTTTCGTCCGCCTCATTCTAGTCATGGGTTCCAACCTTTCTAAGGAACAGGTCTTTATCCAAGACCTTAAGTATGCTCTTAAGGAGAGAGGAGTTATAGTTAAGAAAAAGGACCTTTTGAAATTCTTTCTTTTTGTAGATGAGGTCTGCCCTTGGTTTATGGTTACTGGCCCAGATATTCATCCGGGAAAGTGGCAGAAGGTAGGGAGAGACCTCAATAGAAAATTGCAAACTGAGGGGCCAGAGGCGGTCCCTCCCTCGGTTTTTTCTTACTGGGGTATCATCAGAGACATAGTGGAATCTGCCCCTGGAGCCACCGCAGGAAGCGCAGGGGTGGACTTGTGTGCCGCCTCCACCTCAGTATTGACCCCTGAGGGTGGTCCATATTATTCCTACAGGCATCTTTGGCCCCCCGCCCCCTGACTTCTATTTTTTCATCCTTGGTCGTGCCTCCGCTACTATCAATGGCCTCATAATTCATCCCTCCATTGTGGATAGTGATTATACGGGGGAAATTCAGATACTTGCCTCAACCCTGAAAGGGCCCCTCACTGTCCGTCAGGGACAACGCCTTGCGCAGGCTCTCCCGCTCCCCCTACAAACTCCATACCCTGCTCTCGCCACTGTTAGAGGCCACTCCAAGCCTGGTTCCTCAGACATCTATTGGGTCCAGGCCATTTCCCAGGACCGCCCCATGCTTACGCTTTTTATTCAAGGCAGGCTTTTTGAAGGAATATTAGATTCAGGAGCTGACTCGACTGTTATTTCAAAAGATAGTTGGCCATCTTCGTGGCCCCTTCAACCATCCATGACACACTTGCAGGGCATAGGTCAATCCCACAATACTCTACAGAGCTCTCAATGGCTGCCTTGGCAAGACAAAGAAGGAAATAAAGGGACTGTTCGGCCTTTTGTGGTCCCCGGCTTACCTGTCAACTTATGGGGAAGGGACATTCTTTCACAGATGGGGGTAATTATGTGCAGCCCAAATACCGTTGTGACCCGTCAAATGCTCTCCCAGGGATTTCTCCCAGGGCAAGGATTAGGCAAGAAAGGTCAAGGGCAACTGTCCCCAATTGTTGCTGAAGGGAGAAAAGGGCGAGCAGGCCTTGGTTGTGAGAGCCCAGATAATCAGAACCATTTTTTCGTGAGGGCCGCGGGTCCTCCTGCACTCCAGGCAGATAGGATCTCGTGGAGAAATGACCTACCCGTCTGGGTAGACCAGTGGCCCTTACCCAAGAAAAAACTGGAGGCAGCGTTTGCTTTAGTGCAGGAGCAACTAGCTGCAGGGCACATAGAACCGTCTACATCCCCGTGGAACACGCCCATTTTTGTTATCCAAAAAAGATCAGGTAAATGGCGACTCTTACATGATTTACGGGCCGTCAATAAAACTATGATTCCTATGGGGGCCCTTCAACCTGGGCTCCCCTCCCCTGTAGCCATACCGCAAGATTTTTCTAAGATTACAATTGATCTTAAGGATTGCTTCTTTTCCATTCCCCTCCACCCTTCCGATTGTCAGCGCTTCGCTTTTAGTGTTCCTATTACCAATTGTGTGGGCCCTTCTCCGCGCTTTCAGTGGAAAGTTTTGCCACAAGGCATGGCTAATAGCCCTACGCTGTGCCAAAAATATGTTGCCCAAACAATTGATCCTTTTCGCTTGCAGTATCCCAAGCTTTATATTATCCATTATATGGACGATATCCTCCTTGCAGGACCAAATAATGAGGAATTGACTCAGGTATCACAGGAGCTCATTAAGGCGTTGGAATATCGGGGCCTTAATATTTCCCCTGATAAAGTACAAACCTGCCCCCCCCAGCTCTTCTTGGGATTTGAACTCTTGACGAATCGCATTCTCTCCCAGAAGGTTCGCCTACGAGTGAGTCACCTTTGCTCCCTTAATGATTTCCAAAAATTACTGGGAGAATTGAATTGGCTTCGGCCATATCTTAAGATCACTACAGGGGAACTGAGACCCTTGTTTGATATTCTTAAAGGAGACTCCGATCCAAATTCACCCCGCTCTCTCACGCCGGAGGCCCGTAAGGCCCTTGCCTTAATTGAGCAAGCCATTCATGATCAACATATTGGCTATTACGCTCCTCAAAAACCTCTTTGGTTCTTAATTTTTTCCACCGCTTTTTCCCCCTGGATTGTTATGGCAGGGACATCCGTTATTTGGATTCATATGCCAGCCACACCTACAAAGATCCTTTCTCCTACCCGCATTTAACGGCGGGGCTCCTGCGCCTCGGCCGAGAGGCAGCCCTTCGGCTTTTTGGTCGGGAACCAGATCATATTGTTTGCCCCTACACTGCTTCGCAGATTCAATGGCTGCTTCAGAATGATGATGATTGGGCAGTTAATTGCATTTCCTATATGGGAACTATAGACAATCATTATCCCTCAGATAAGCTCATTCAGTTCTTTCAGAAAACACCCGTGGTCTTCCCAAGGATCACCAAGGCGGAGCCCATAGAGAGGCGCCCATTTGGCGTTCACTGATGGGTCTGCCACAGGGAAGGCAGCCTTTAGTGTTGATGGGAAGGTCACCTCTTTTGACACCCCTTTCACTCCGCGCAGCTGGTAGAGCTCGCAGCGGTCATTAAGGTTTTTGAATCTGTCTCGGGCCCCCTCAATGTTTATACTGATAGTTCCTATATTGCACAGTCAGTCCCTCTATTGGAAACCGTCCCGTATATCCGTCCCTCCACTAATGCGTCTCCTCTTTTTGCCACTCTTCAGCTTCTAATTCTCTCCCGCAACCACCCCTTTTTCATTGGTCATATTCGTGCCCATTCCGACCTCCCCGGTCCTCTTTCTGAAGGGAATGATCAGGTTGATCAAGTAACTCGTCGCATTCTGCTTGCTCTGTCTGCCTCCCCTGTTGAGGCTGCCACACAAGCCCACAAGCTGCATCACCTGAATGCCCATACGCTTCGTCTCAAGTTCCCTATAACCCGGGAACAAGCCAGACAGATTGTGAAACAGTGCCCTGGTTGCCTGACCCTCCTTCCTGAACCTCATAATGGCATCAATCCCCGAGGTCTTATCCCCGGGGAACTTTGGCAAATGGATGTCACTCACTATCCCCCTTTTGGTCGGCTTAAATATGTTCATGTGTCCATTGATACCTTCAGTGGCTTCATTTTTGCCACCCTGCAACCTGGAGAGGCCACCAAACATGTCATTAATCACCTCCTTAGTGCCTTGGCGGTCCTCCCGCAGCCCAAAATTCTTAAGACAGATAATGGCCCTGGTTATACCAGTTCTTCTTTCAGATCTTTTTGTGCACAGTTGCATATTAAGCATGTTACTGGTATACCCTATAATCCTCAAGGGCAAGGAATTGTGGAAAGGGCCCATCAGACACTGAAAAACATGGTCCTGAAATTACAATCAGGGAGGGAAGTTCTTTATCCCAGAGCTGGCAATGCCAAAATTGCTCAATCACGCTCTTTTTGTTTTAAATTTCTCACTCTGGACACTGCGGCAAAGAGTGCCGCAGACCGCCTTTGGCATTCCACTACGGCCCAAACCTACGCTCAGGCAAAATGGAAAGATCCCCTGCTTGGCAAATGGCAGGGCCCTGATCCTGTGTTAATCTGGGGCAAAGGCCATGCTTGTATTTATGACTCAAAGTGCCAAAATGCTAGATGGTTGCCTGAAAGGCTGATTAGGTTGATGGACAAGCCAGAAACTCATAATGCCGTCCAGGGAACCACACCCCCTGAGACACCTCTGTTTTCTTTCTCTGTTTTACAGAAAATGACGATCCTCGTAATTTTCCTCCTGTTCCGTGGGAGCCACGGTGGTTTTCAATCTCCTGACCCAGTAGCGCTCAGCCGTGCCCTCTTTGGAAGCCCTTGTGACTGCGGCGGGGGCACGTTCACTGTCCGTCCCGCCACCTACACGCAAGAAGTGGACTGCGGGGAAAAGACAGCCTACCTCGCCTACCGTCATTCTATCACGGCGTCTCCAAACCCAAGTGGGAATGCGTAAGGAAGCCCCGAGTTATCCCTCCGAATGGTGACCAGCCCGGGCCTTGCCCCAGTGATTGCAACTACCCTGAGGCCTTGCACTCCACATGCTATAGTTCTACCCAGCAGTGCAGTGGCAGCTCAGGAACAGTCTATCTTACTACAATACAGGAGAGAATATGGTGGCACAGGAGGGGACTGGGATATAACTAGCCAAGGCCTACGTGGAAGTACCAATAAGTATGCTCAGGCTTCCTGTCGTAAAGAAAATATTGGAAAAAATGTCTGTTGGCCCTTCATGCACCTGTCCATATCTCTGATGGGGGTGGCCCTACAGACCAAATTAGGGAACATGAGGTTAGGGAACGATAAATGAAATAATTAAGAGTATGTACCCCCCATCCATTACCATCCACTTGCACTGCCCAAACCCCGGGGAACGGACCTAGATGTCCAAACTTCAGAAATCCTTGAAGCAACACTTAAGGCCCTTAATTACTCTAACCCTGATTTGGCTGCCGATTGCTGGCTGTGTATGGCCCTTGGCACACCCATGCCCATAGCTTTGATATCCAAATGGCTCCACATCCACAAATTGTACACTTAGTCCACCTTTTAAGGTACAACCTGTTGGTCTCCGCCCCTCTCCTTGTATCCAAGCCCCATTTCAGAATTCCACTGCTGATATTGATGTTGGTCTCGCTACCTTTGCTAATTGCTCTGAAGTCAAAAACTATACCTCAGGAACTCTCTGTCCCCTGCCGGGACAACTTTTCGCCTGTGGGGGAAATATGGCCTACTCTGCCTCCCCCAGAATTGGACAGGACTCTGCACACAAATTTCAATCCTCCCTGATATCGACATCATTCCGGGAGATGAGCCTGTCCCACTGCCCAGTTTTGATTATATTACTGGAAGACCCAAGAGGGCTGTTGCATTTATCCCCCTCCTTGTTGGCCTTGGGATTACAGGGGCACTCGCTACCGGCTCTGCCGGCATAGGAGTTGCTGTAGATTCATATACAAAACTATCCCATCAATTTATTAATGATGTGCAAACCCTCTCGGGGACGATAAATGACCTTCAAGACCAAATTGACTCCCTGGCGGGAGTCGTTCTTCAGAATAGGAGGGGCCTAGATTTACTCACAGCAGAACAAGGGGGAATTTGTTTAGCCCTACAAGAAAAGTGTTGCTTCTATGCAAATAAATCTGGGATAGTGCGGGATAAAATCAAAAAACTGCAAGAGGATCTGATTAAAGACGCAAAAACTTTTTGAAAATCCCCTCTGGAGTGGCTTGAATGGAGTCCTCCCATACCTCCTCCCTCTCTTGGACCTTTAATTGGTCTCCTCCTACTTTTTCTTTTGGACCCTGGGCCTTTACTAGACTAACCTCTTTCATTAAAACACAGATTGAGGCTTCTCTTAAAAACACCGTCAATATCCATTACCACCAACTTGCTTTGTCAGAAGATCCTAGTGATACCATGGAAGAGGGTCTCCAGTTCTCGAAGCTCGTGCAACCGGAATCTCGCTGCTCGCGGTGGTGGAGAAATCTTAAGGGTAAAAAGTAATCTGGCAGCTGTGAGAAAGCCCATGACGGGAATATTGAGGTCCCATGTGTCAAAAAGATAAGCGCGGCTGCAGTTGCTTCCCCATGACGGGAATAGAGTGAGGCCATGATGGGTTACATCGTGGGGACCCCTCGCTTAGCCTAAGACAGGGACCACTGCCACTAATGCGCTTTGAACATGGAGGCCGACCTCATAGCCTAAGACAGGCCTCTCACCTGCTATTTTAAATAGAAAAGGGGGACATGTTGGAAGCCAGCACCTGGTAGTGGGCCCCTAACCCCGTGAAAACACCAAACCGCAAGCAGCTTGTTCCGGGACAAACCGTATCATAACATGTTTTCGTCAACAGATGTACTAACCGCAAAATGTTGCCATACCGCCCTGGAAAGTTCCGGAGGCCTATTTTTTCTTTAGCCCCTCCCCACTTTTACCCTATATAAGCTTGGAACGCTCAAAAATAAAATTAGACCTTGCCTACCATCTTTTTGGTCTCGCTCCTCCTTTCACCCATTCCTTTCAGCCAGGATCCTCCTCGACCCCCCACGTATACTGGCCCTGCAGGTCGGGGCACCAAATGGGACCTACTTGTTTCCCCTCATTTTACTACAGATCAGGAAACCAAGACCAAGGTCATGCAACTACTTAGTGGCAAAAAAACAAGTCTCCCGACTCTGTGGACCGTATTATGTTGCCCCTCATAGTGTCCATTTGACTTCATCACAGTTCCAATTCTAGAAATGCTATGACATCTGAATAGCATGTGAGAGCCTTTCCAACTACAACAGTCAACGCTTTTAAGTAATATTCTGTTGATGAGCTTCATTAGTGGCGCTCATAGATGACCTTTGGCCTGTGATGACAAAGTACTGATTTACTTTGAGTTTATATGGACACCTGAAGAACACAGAGTGAAACCTAGAGGCTAGATACAAAGAAGACATTGCCCTGGCCTGTATCCTTCCTCAAAGAATGACAATAACCCTAGCACATTCTAAAGACTTTTAGAGAGTTGTTTGTTTTTTTTTTAAATATATCAAAGGCATCCATTAGCTTCTCTTTAATTTCTGAGCCCTTGACTCTTAAATGAGCTAGGTAAGGAGGCCATCTGAGAACACTTATTTTGCAAAGCAGATGTGCTATATCATCTTTTTTACTGTAGGGGTTCCTGGAAATATGCCTTCATAAAAATCTTCAGAGAAGATTGAAGCAGACTCTCTCAGCCTCAGTGTCCTCAGCAGCAGCACAGTTGGGATTTCAACCCAAGTCTTCTCCAATTCCAATGCCGGCTCCAATGCCAGTAGTAATAACTAAAATAATAATGGGTGTTAAAGCACTACACAAATGTAGAGGATTTTTAAGGGCCTGGAACAGTACAGGGAGCTTCTGGATAAGGAAATTCTCTCTACCAATGCATGTTCTGCCCTTTTTTCTGCAACTTAAGAATCGTTTAGAGCATTCAAAAGGTAGTTGATCTGCCCAGGGTCACACAACCCGTAAGTGTCAGAGGCAGGAGACTTGAACCCTGGCTTTGATAGTTTCCTGGATGGTTTTTTATTCATTATATCACAATGGGATTGTTATTCTTAGAAAATCGTTGGCCAATGGGCAACAAACTCCAGGCCTTTCCTCTCTTTCTTCTTCTCCTTTATTTTCTCTAGTGAGCCCAGCCTGACCTGATTTCATCCTAGACCTGCACCATCCAGCATTGACTGATCCAAAGCACCCTTTCCTGTAGCCAGAGAGAGTCTCCAGTGGTTACACAGGCCTCCCCTTCCCCCCCCTCCCCCAACAGCTGGTGCTTCAAAACCGGAAAAGTTTTTTGGGTTTTTTTCCAGCTGCCAAGCCTGTAACTCTTGTGGTACATTCATTTGCCCTGCGTGCTTGAGGGGGAGGCCTGTCTCGACCCACATGTGCAGTCGAATGTGAACCTGCACCTGATTTGTTGCCATTTCTGAGGCCTCAGCACTTATCCTCATGCACATTTTTAAAGGAGCAGTAATGGCTCCCCAGCACCTCCTTAAATCCACCACAGCCTGTGAGTTATTGCTTCATCTGCCCTCTCCTCGGTGTCTGATGAAGCACGGGCAACAGCTGCTGAGGATCCTTTATTTAAAACCCAGCATCATCAACTCAGTAAACCAGGTTAACAACTGCATTGGAATTGTCTTGGTTGGCTTTGCAGATAATCCTGCAAATCAAATGATCAAACCCACCAAAGCTTTCTCCCACTCTTCACCTTCCCCAAACCCCCACCAAATCCCTGATGACAGATGTTTTCAGTTCATTCCAGTTAGAAAAAAAAATCATCAATTTATGTCTAAGAAGCTTTTTAAAAAACTAACAGTAATAGGTCCTTAATTGGGTTTCTTTTTGGAAAAAAGTGATAGACATTTTTAATTTGTTATAATCCGACCAGAAAATTTGGAAGCAAAGAAAAGATGGTGAAATTTGCATCTCTCTCTCTTCTATATTTCTACCATATGCATTTGGTTTCTACTGGGTTGACCAACCTTCCTTCCTATGACATCAGTATTCTGAATAGGCCCTTTCTCTGGCACAAAAGTTCATTTTTTTTTGTGTGGCTGTAATATAGATGATAAATACAATGGGTTGTAGAGTTATTAATTTGATGATGAGTTAGAAGTTGCCTCAGAATTAGAAGATGTTTGAAGAAAATCTACTATGCCTGGATTATGTGAGTGTTTAAGTGCACCCCTGTTCTGAGACTAGAACCATTTTAAAATCAAAAATGAGTTTTGAAAAAGGGGAGGACATTTATGGTATAGAAGAAAAAACACTGGATTAAGAATCCAGAGATGTTTTCATTTCTGGCTCTGACACTAACTTTCCGGTTAACTTCAGGCAATACATTTTGGCCTAGAAGTTTCTCATTTGAAAAAGAAGGAATCATAGGTGAGCTAGAAGGGACCTTACAGGTCATCTGGTCTACCTTTCCCATTTTCCAGATGAGGAAACTGAGGCCCAAAGGTTACATAATTTGTAAGCAGCTGAAGCCAGAATTTGAACTCAGGTCTTCTGTACCAGTGAGTTGGTCTAGATTTGCCAAAGTTTAATTTAAGATTTTATGATTATATCATTTAGTCAAATCTCATGGCTTAGGCTATGGCTCCTCCTTTTGTTCCATATATCCTACATTTCATTTAAGGCTACTTAAAAGAAATACTTAGTAGGACTTTAATGAGAATGGAGGAAATAATTCAGAGCAATTTGATATCAATGCACACACTCCATGCATTCCCAATCTATGACCCTATCAACCGCTCAAATCAGCATCTTCTCCAAACACCCAGACAGGGTCAAATGATAAAGGCTCAGACATGCTGAATGCATAAGCATCTATTAAGCATTTACTGTGTGCCAGGGACTATGCTAAGCACTGGGGATATGAATACAAAAAGCATGACAGTCTGTGCCCTCAAAGATCTAATATTCTAAAAGAAAAGATAAAATGGGTATAATTTAGGGGACTCTTGGCCAGAGAGGGGGTGTTTGGGAGGGAGGTGGTACGCTGTGGATAGAGCCCTGAACTTCCTCTCAGGAAGGCGCTGTTGAGGTGCTTCACTTGTTGGTCTGACTCTTCATGACCCTTTTGGGCTTGTTTTTATTTTGGCGGAGGATGGGGGGGGCAAAAATACTGGAATGGTTTGCCATTACCTTCTCCAACTCACTTTACAGATGAGGAAACTGAGGCAAAGAGGGTTAAGTCACACAGCTACTGAGTGCCGGAGGCTGGATTTTGAACTAGGATGATGAGTCTTACTGATTCCAAGCTCTAGCTACTGCACTACCTAGCTGCCCCCATGTCAGGAAGGCCTGAGTTTAAATCTTACCTCAGACACTGATTATCTGTGTGACCCTCTCCACTTCAGTTTCTTCGTATGTAAAATGTGGATAACAATAGCTCTACATAATATAATATACAATAATTATAACTCCCAGGTTGTTGTGAGGTAACACTCATAAAGCCTTTTTGCTGTATTAATACTAGCTATTATTATGTAGATCCTGGGTGGGAGCGTGCCAGGATTTTGCCTAAGGCTTGTCACTCACAAATCTTCCGTGGCAGATCAGCTTCTGTTAACGTGGTACAGGGACATGAAGCATTCTGTTATCTCATCCAAGGTTGTTATCAGCTGCTGAGCAAGTGCGTCTGGCTTCTTTATAATGGTAAAAACAATAGCTGCCATTTCTATAGCACTGCACTTTCCATATCTTTTCTCGTCCAATCCCCACAACAACTTGTGAAACAGGTATCATGTTATTATCCATATTTTACAGATGATGAAACAGATCATCAAAAGATGTTGAGTAGGGGCAGCTAGGTAGCACAGTGGATAGAGTGCCAGCCCTGGAGTCAGGAAGACTTGAGTTCAAAACTAGTCTCAGACACACAATACTTCCTAGCTGTGTGACTCTGGGCAAGTGACTTAATCCCAATTGCCTCACTAAAAAAAAAAAAAAAGAAAGGGTTTAAGTGACTTGCCCAAGGTCACAGAGTTCATAAATGTCCAAGACAAGACTTGAACTCAGGCCTTCTTGACTTTATTGACTCTCGTACTCCTTTATGATCATGGCTCTGATGTGGTTTAGGGGTTCAGGGGTGCTGAGACCCCAAAATCACAACACATGGGTCCTGTCCGAAGGAATTTGACCCAAGCCTTCTTTCAGCCAAAGACAAGGTTTATTAGAACACCCATCATATTGGACAGACTCTTAAGGAGTCTGAACATAAGTAAGCAGTGGCTAGATTATAAGAATCTGAGCCGTGGCTAGATTATAAGAATCTGAACATCTTAATGGAGACAAGATGGACCTTATATACAGAAAGCATGTGGAAAGGACCCAGGAGTGGCCAGTAAGCTGGGGTGAACAGAACTTCTGGGACCTGGATCTCCAAGGCCAAGGGAGAATGGAGCCTAGCTAGGAAGACAATGGAGGGGAGATTGGGTGTAGCCACAGTGAAAGGCTAGTTGATGGGATTATAGCCTCAGGTGAACGCCAGAGATTTGTGGGAAAGCTCAGGGTTTTTCCTTTCTGAGGTCTAGATCTCAACCCCATCAGTTCCACTGTCCAAAGACAACTTTCTCTTTTTTTTCTTTCTTTGGATGATTACATATTATGCTTATTCCTATGCAAGTCCTGGGGAATTTCTCCACCTTGGGACATAAGCTGCTTGGCTGAACACATAGTCACAATAAACTAGAGAAGGCTGACACCAGGGCACCATTTCCTGACTCTTCCTCCTCCCATTCAGATTCAGCCTCTTTTTTAAATCCCTGCCTATTTTCTCTGTTAATTGCTGTACTCCTCAGCCTTGCTCTCTACCCTAGGGTCCCTTCTAAAGGAACAGGGGCACAAGAGCAGAAATTATCCTTGGCATTACCTATTAGGGTTCACCGCTGTCTGGGTAATGCTGGCAGAAAATATGGTTATATAAAATTGTTGCACACTCATTCTAT